TTTTAAATCACATATTCAAAAAAATAAATTAAAATTATCACAATTTATATATGCTTTAAGAGAATTAAAAAAATCTACAAATTTAAAAACGGCAGTGACAGCCTATCACGCCTACGCTCAAGCGTGGCTAAACTACGGCGTCATACTGTGGGGCAACAGTGTAGAATCACACGAACTTTTTATTTTACAAAAAAAATGTATACGCGTACTTGCAAATATCAAACAAAGAGAAAGCTGCAAACCTCACTTTCAAAGTCTCAAAATTCTAACATTACCGTGCCTATATATATTAGAAATATGTAAATTTGTAAAAAGACACCCAAGTTTTTACATCAAAATCATAGACGCGCCCCGACACAACGTACCTCGCTATAAGAATAACCTTTTGCAACCAAAATCTAAATTAAAATTACACAGTACAGGTCCTTACCCGATGTCAATAAAAATTTGTAATAAATTGCCGGAATACATAAAAGCCGAAACAAATATTAATAAATTCATTAGATTTTTAAAAGCTATACTCATTAAAAAAAGTTATTATTCAATTAATGAATACATGGAGGAAAAGAATTTTTAAGTGTCTGCCCCTCTCCTGTTCATTGCTATGCCTTTCGAGGTGCATGTGATTGTTAGAACTTGCACGTTTTGTTTACTCTAAGTCACATGTAACGCAATTTGTGAATAAATAAATAAATATATATATATATTAAAGTTCTTGATGAAAATAAATTACATCGCATCCCATCAAGAATTTCTAATGTAATTCTTGGTGTAAAGCTAAGACGTGATAATAACTGTAAACAATAGAATAACAAAATAATAAAAACATTTGTAAATACTTGCTTTATAACCTAATAAATATTATTTGACGGTAATAAAATTAAACAAGGTAGTCTTCGGCTTGAAAGTAAAAATAAATATTTTCGATTATTTTTGTAATATCTAACAGCCGGATCAGCGCGCGATTCTGATCCATCTAAACATGCAACAGCAAACAGCAAGCACTGACACTGTCAAGTTCAATAGGAGTGACAGAAAAACGGTTCTTTATATAGAAGGGTAAATAAATTATTTAACCTATAAAGTTAAATCACTTTATTAAAAATCAAAATAGCCCAACAGTTTTATTAACATGAGACACATAATTGTACGAGTGCTTACGATACTTAACATTATTTTACTGAAATCTCAGAAAGTTTTTTTTTAATAGAATAAGGGTGACAAACGAGCACACAGTCCACCTGATGATAAGTGGTTGCTACGGCCCATAGACATGTACATCTATTCTCGATTACGTATCAAAATGTAGATGCTTTGTCACCCGTGAGGTTCTCCGGTTCTCTACACTCACCATACGAAACACAGCAGGGTTAAACTGCTATTTTATATGGTATTCCGTGAGAGCGTGGCCCTTCCCCGGTCGAGCCGACCCATTCGTGCTGCAGCTATATTAGTAGTAGGTATAGACCTACTAATATAGCTGCAGCATGGCTCTACCATGTAAGAAAAAATTGACGTTGAAAATTTAAGTATTTTCAGAAGCAACTTTGCAATTATTTTCTATTGAGTGAATTTTTGTGGAAGCCGCCACCTAAAATACGTACAATTATTTTCGATAACGACGTGAAATTACAAAACGATCCCCATGCATATCGATTCAGCCTCTTAATATGAACATACCTCGGGATTCAGAGATTTTAAAAGTTTTCATGCGTAGATAATGGAAGATATAATATTATATTATTACTGTCCCGTGTGAGGTAACCTTTATACTTATATACATATTGTCATCATATTTTTATGGTTGGTTAGAAAAATTATATCTAAATACAAACTTTCACAGGGTAATTTTTTTTTTACTATTTTTACCCAGCAAGTAGTAAAACAACTACAATCCCATCGGTAAGTGGTTATGTAGCCTAAGACTGTGAATTGCACTGGCTTAATAAAAACCTATTCACTCTTGTCTAACAGTACTAGGTAAGAATTATTTGCGACCTATTTGTGTGTGTGTATGAAGAAAAGCGTATGAGAATACGTGAAGAGGAATAACGGTTGAGTACTTTAGTACTTTTGAGAGTTTTGTTAGTAAGTAATACTACTTCGCTTACCTGTACGAGGTTGCCACTCGAGAACCATTCTTCCTATTTTTTATCTGTTTTCCAAGTTATATAGCCAGTCCATTGCCATTTCACTGTAATATTCCGTTGGGCTATGTCAGTTACTCTGGTTCTATTGCAAATATCTTCATTTATAACTTTATCACTTAGAGAAACCCCTCTCCAATTTAAAATTTTTACATTTTTTAGATGATAGTTTGTCTAACATAAAAAAACCATAAACCCAAGAATGTCTTTATATAGTTATTTATACTTAGGGAAGCACTATTTTTTTCATTTATTTAAATTGTTTTATTTAATTTGATAACAGTGTACCTAAATGTAAGTATAAGTATCTATATTTCCCTCCCCTATAATATTTTATAAAGTCATACTCATAAAAACAGCGTTTTATTAGTAAGTAAGTTTTGTTAGTAAGTAATACATAATTATAAAATTCAGTATCAACTAATTAATAAAAATATGCAACAATAAAATTACATAGGTATTAAAAACTATCGAAATCTAAGTAAAGAGAGCATGTTTGTCCTTCCAAATCTAAATTATATAAAAATGCCTTTTTCAATTTCACTAATCAACGTCGCCGCGAACATTTCTTCTTCTCTGGGGACGTTAAAAATTAATTTATTTAGAAAATAATATTTACAGTTACCAATGTACATATTAACTAAATTAAGTATTTCTAGTCATAAAAATATTTATAATTGAGTATAAATTTAAAAAAAATTAATATATATTTGAACGAAGTCGCTCCAACACCGACGCGCAGTCCACCCCAAGGGTATTAGTGTTCTGTGGTCCACCCTGTCCACCCTCGACGATGTCCGAAAACGGACTGTGACAGAGCTTACATGGCGACTGACCACAGAATACTTTACTCCTAGCGGAGTACATGGGACTGACAAAGAAAGACTACAATGTTATGCGGACTGATATAATGTACTCTGTGACTGACTGCGACCGAGCATGCGCGCTCGCGGAAATATATTCAATTTCAGGGAAAAATGATATATTATTCTCTTATAAAACGGGGAATAAAAATAAAACTCTCAATTAAAAATATTAATATTTTTAAGACCTTTTTTTTAGTGTAAGAACTATTTAAAAAGCTTGTGCCGTTTTGGAGATATGTTGCAAAATATGACAAAGATAGGTACTCTTTGGGGATTTTTTTTCTAATAATGGGAAATACAATTTTATTCAATTAATAACATATACCAAATCCTTTTCTGTTACCCTGTATTTTTTCTTTGTGGATTAAATGAACAGTTATTGAGATTTTTTTTCTTAAATATCCAAGATTTAGGCATTTCAACCACTGTCGGCCTTAAGGCCTTAAAGTTCTCTCGAAGCGCTTCGCGCGGTTTTAAATTGTAAATTGCATATATTGCCCTTTTTTGTAAAACAATTTTTTTTCTCAATAACCATGTCATTACCCCACAGTAAGATTCCATAAGACATTATAGGTACTATGAAAATAAGCAAAACATACAAATTTTGCAGTTTCAATTTAAGATACAATTGATAATCAATCATGTTGTTATATTAAGTTACTATGATTACACATGTTGTTTTATATTTTAAAATATTTTTCTTTTTTCCTTAAATTCACATGCATCAGGTCACAACCCTATCATTCCGTTCAGGCGATGCAGGCTCTTGCAATTGTTGGTTGTTTTGTTCATTTCGTTTCACTCGATTTCCTGCAGTCTGAGTGATTTCATGATAACAGGAAGCTGGGAAGCGTGCGTTATCTTAATACAACAAATATGTATTGATGACATTTATTTCATTACAATTATAAATTAAAACTAATTCAGTACAATACTGAGTTCCTTAACTAGGTGATTACATTATTACGATGAGTACTATAATTAATATAATTCCAAATGCAATGGCTGTTCTAGGATGATCAACCAAGTCATTTTAAGCACAAGTTGTTATCAACATGTAAAATAATGGCTACTTTCAATTATCATGTTTGAGTAATCTAGTATCTAAAGCTTAGTCAGGACAATTTGGGATCAAAAATAATTTATAAAATGGGGTTTTGAGTGACTCAATCCTATCATCCACATACAGAATACAAATAATACTTCAGTATGTTATAAAAAAGGAGGCATATTTTTGCTCTTCTGCAAGGTTGCCCATTTTGATTTATGAGGTGTTAGAACTTAAGGGATATGCAATTATACAATTTATAGTAGCTATATTATATTTTCATTTATTTACTTAACATTCAAATATATACAATATTTAAAAAAATAAAAAACCAAAAGCTTTTAATTTTTTTAATTATTTATTTTATTTTAGACTTTTAGTGTCCCGACACACTCCTATGAACCAAATTTCATATGATAGCATGAGATCCGACACAAACATGGCCCATTTTTATACTATCAAAAACTTTTTAAACCAATTTTTTATTCCTAAGAAAAATTAAACAAATAAGTTATACATATTTTTGTAATTTCCTTAATTTCTATACCCTACTCAATAGGTTTTGTAATTTTTTTTATTATAGTATTACTATTTCGTGCCAAAAATCTGCCACTTTTTTATCAAACAGCTATTTCAGAATTTTTAGGACTAATATAAACAATAACCATCAACAAACAAACCTTAACCGTCGAAATCCATCCAGCCATTTGGAAGATATTAGGTAATAAAAAAATTACATATTATATTTGCAAAAAACATAACCCATCCTTGGCAGTCGGGTAAAAACCATAATAAAAAAACCAAAACTAAAAGCTTAAGTTATCATGCAGTCTTACTTCCCTTGGTGTAGTGCCAAGAAGCTGGCTGCATTTTCTCACTGAATGGCTATACTTGGCCTATGAGGAAGAAAAGAACCAGCTCTCATATCACAGTTGCTATTTAAAATGATACTATGTTTTCATGCAGTACATTTTCATTTTGTAAAAAACATTTGTATTCATTTATAAAAAGTTTTGAACCACACAATAAAAACTGATCATTAATTGTAAATGGTTTCAATACCAGTAAATCATCATATTTGAGTTTCTGATTATGGACAGGCTCATGATATTTATGTGCCCCATTTTTCGATAATGAATTTAAAAATATTTTATATGTAAAGTTCCAGAAAGATTTATATGTATACAACTCATTTCTTAACAATATTTTGTCTTCAGAAGAACAACAATAAAAAAGTACAATTTTTGTAAAATCATCTTCATTATTTAATATTTTATCTATAATAGATATAAATGGTGTAATACCTGTTCCTTGAGCAAGCATGATAAGCCTGGTATATTTATTGGGTATTATTTCATAAGACCCAAATGGACCTCGCCATAATGTTTGATCTCCTTCTTTTAAACTATGTAAATATTTAGAAACTAGACCTGTATGATATTGCTTCACAATTATGGAAAAATCAAATTCCTGAGAATGAGGAGTCATTTTTATAGGTGTATAAGCTCTAGTACATGATCCTGTATCAAAGCAATATTTGAGAAGAAAATGGTCTCCAGGGTTCCACCATATTTTTTGTATTTCATTTTTTTCCTTATTCAATTTTTTAAAAGTTATTATTTTATGAAAATCGCATAGAGAATTAACATTGATCACTGTGAATGTAGTGTATTCTAGTTGTGATATTCCATTTTCCTTTTGGTCTAATATTTCACCACATTCCTGAAAATTTTTATATAATCGTAATTGTTTTTCATAAACTTCAAAAATACAAGGGCTGCAACCACTATTACAACAATCTTCTTTATTTGGTTCCTCAGGTTGTTTCATTACCTACGTAGTACTTTATTCAAGGAGTTGATAGTTATCTCAGATCAGAAATTCTGCTAATAAGGAGGATAATACAAAATGTAGGAAATATACAATCCAAAGAGAATATAATCACTACGTTTAAGAGGCGGGACTTCCATAGTAAAAATAATTGCAGGCTGGTGCAACTTCCATAGTAAAAATTGTATATACTACAGGGGTCAAATTTTAATGACGGTTACTCTTCTTTCTGCTTTTCGTGATATGTCTATTAACGACATTGTCAAATGAAATAGGTTCACGTAGTGTTTCTATATAGTTTGTGAATAGGTTCAAATGTCAAATCAAACAATTATATTTGTATATATTTTATTAAACTTCCACAATTTATGTGTATGTTAATTAGGTTTCATTTACATGTAGTAAAAGATAATATTCCTCTAAAGTCACATTTTGGCAAGAATTAGATTATATAACTAAATCATTATTTTATTCATCAATAAACATTAGCTATAATGAGCACTTATTTTAAAAGCGACAATTAGTAAACGATCTCTGCGAATAGTATGTAGGTACATAGGTGCCTCTGTGAAGAAGCCTAGCGATTTGTACATAGTATTTGTTACACATAAAAGCAATTTAATCCAATTAGTATTAAAAACCCAATATTTTTACCCTTAAAAAAACTAACGTTGAAAACAAGCATCCAGATGCAAACTATTTATTTTACAGCATAGCAACAATTGTTCAGTGCGGGAAGGAAGCCTCGGTCCTGCAATGCCGCAGCCAAACGCTTAGCCACTGCGCTACGGGGTCGTCATTTATTTTTTACTTAATTAATTACTAGTAGTAAAAATTAATTACTAAAGTAAAAAATAAGTGCGTTTTTTATTTAATATTTTCTTTATACATACTTTTGTACCTAATTGTAGAGATATAAATACAAATTGCTGTGTGTAAAATATATTGATTTCTTATCCTTATCGGCATTTTTACTCAATCCACACGTTAAAAATTTTATTTCTCATAAATAATTCAGTATAGAGATCTAACTTTTCTTATGTAAAAATATGGATAAACAATATATCGATAAAGGTTATATCGATAAAACTATTCGAGGATCGACATTTACAGCACTATTGTAATTCGGCAATGTTGTCAGCACTGTTTCTCAAAACTAAATGTCATATCTTGATGTTGGTAGAGTAACTTGGCGTAATTTCATGCTATTATTTTTACTATGGAAGTCACGCCTCTTAAACGTAGTGATTATATTCTCTTTGAATAATTGCATGAAATGAGGGCTAATAATCTTCCACTCACCAGATGTCGCTAGTAGCGACTGAGGTAAAATTTTTTGTTACACAGTGTCTTTTAATTAAGAAATTAGTTTTAAATAATAGTTTATCATTATCTAGAGTATTATATTAATATATAACACAAGGCGGCAGTGGTTTGATTTTTAATTTTTGCACATTATAACTCTTTTTTTTTAAAGTAGTCTTTTAGTTATATTTATAGTTTGGTTTATTCATTTCTAATGTAATTAAAATAAAATATAACTAATAATACAGAAAGAAACCTTAAAGATTACATTTTCCTAAGAAATTATCGTCCCCGCTATGAAATCTGTCAAATATTTTACCTCACTCTAAAGTGGCGCCGCCCTGGTGGCAGAAAAAGGCGTGGCTCATTACGCCAAGCTACTCTACCAACATCAAGATATAATATTTAGTTTTGAGAAACAGTACTGACAACATTGACGAATTACAATAGTGTTGTAAATGTCTATCCTCGAATAATTCTATCGATATAACCTTTATCGATATATTGTTTATCGATATTTTTACATAAGAAAAGTTGATCTCTATACTGAATTATTTATGAGAAATAATTTTTTTTACATGGGGATTGTAAAATTGGAAAGTGTGATTGGAAAGTAAAAATGCCGATGAGGATAAGAAATCAATGTATTTTACACACAGCAATTTGTAATTATATCTCTACAATTAGGTACAAAAATATGTATAAAGAAAATATAATATAAAAAACGCACTATTATATTAGTAATTAATTAAGTAAAAAAATGATGACTCCGTAGCGCAGTGGCTAAGCGTTTGGCTACGGCACTGCAGGACCGAGGCTTCCTTCCCGCACTGAACAATTGTTGTTATGCTGTAAAATAAAAAGTCTGCGTCTGGACGCTTGTTTTCAACGTTAGTTTTTTCAAGGGTAAAAAATATTGGGTTTTTAATACTGATTTATGATGCTTTTACTTGATGCTTTTATGTGTAACAAATACTATCTACAAATCGCTAGGCTTTATCACAGAGGTACCTATGTACATACTATTCGCAAAGATCGTTTACTAATTGTCGCTTTCAAAATGAGTGCTCATTATAGCTAATGTTTGTAGATGAATCTATAAAGAAATTTATTTATAACCAGGTAATTACAAATAACTTTGAGTTCATTTATATAATCGAATTCTTACCAAAATGTTACTTTAGAGGTATATTATCTTTTGCTACATGTAAATGAAACCTAATTAATATACACATAATTGTAGAAGTTTAAATTATGTCCACTGAAGAAATAACAGTTCGTTTTAGTTAGGTTCAAATTGTCACAAACTATTAACGTTTTATTTACGTGTGAATCTTTTCAATTGGTGCATGTGCCAGCTATTTCACCCATTGCTTGCATCTGAAAAAATAATATAAATAAAATCACATTTTTATTGAACAAATAGAATGTTAGCAGTCAGAATTGACTGTGTAGCACAGCTGTGTAGTTTCTAAGTATAGTTCGTTTCGGATTGCCATACCATCGAACTATCAGATTTAGGAAATAGTGTGTTTGTATTTGTGCACACAATCGTACACTATAAAACCTGTCCTACATTGATAGCTAGTCCAAAAATGTACTCGCGTTAAATATCATATTACTATTAAAGTTGAAATCACCACATACCTTTCATCATCTAAGGGAAATATTGCTACGAATAGCCTTTTCTTGTTATCATTTATTCCGCTTCTTGCACCATTTAATTGGAAAGTTTTATAATGCATATTTAATTTCTTAACAATTCTGTAAATGAACAACGGCTCCTATAGCAAAATTAAAAGCAATCTTAATTAATAAAATATATACAAATATAATTGTTTGATTTGACATTTGAACCTATTTCATTTGACAATGTCGTTAATAGACATATTACGAAAAGCAGAAAGAAGAGCTAACCGTCATTAAAATTCGACCCCTGCAGTACAAATAATTTTTACTATTGAAGTTGCACCAGCCTGATACAATCTTTGGCTAATAAGAAAGAGTTAATCCATAAAACACTATTATTATCTTTTTTTTTTTTTTTTTTTTTTTTTTTATAGGAGAGGGGGCAAACGAGCATGCGGCTCACCTGATGGTAAGTGACTACCGCCGCCCATGAACAACCGCAACACCAGGAGAATTGCAGATGCGTTGCCGGCCTTTTAAAAAGGAGTAAGCTCTTTTCTTGAAGGTCCCTAAGTCGTATCGGTCCGGAAAAATCGCTGGTGGTAAACTATTCCACAAGGAAGTTGTGCGAGGAAGAAAACATCTTCTAAATCGCACAGTGGTGGACCGCCAATCATCCAGATGGTGTGGATGGTATCGGGAGTTCTGCCGCGATGTGCGTTCGTGAAATTTGGCGGCTGGGATTAATCCGAACAATTCCTCAGAGCACTCCCCATGGTAAATGCGAAAGAAAATGCTAAGAGATGCAACATCTCTTCGCAGTGCCAATGAGTCGAGCCGATCGGAAAGGACTCGGTCGTCGACGATTCGAGCCGCTCTGCGCTGGATGCGGTCAAGTGGAAGAAGCTGGCACTGGGGAGCCCCAGCCCAGAGATGGGAACAGTATTCCATGTGAGGCCGAACCTGCGCCTTGTAAAGTTGCAGGCGTTGAGCCGGCATGAAATACTGTCCCGCTCTGCTGAGCACGCCAAGCTTTTTAGAGGCCAATTTGGCCTTCTCTTCCAAGTGACCACGAAACTGCACGCTACTCGATATGTCGACGCCAAGGATTCCGATACTGGCTGAGGCAACAAGGGGAGTACCTTGAAACTGAGGAGATACGACAAAGGGGTTCTTTTTAGCGGTAAACGCGCAAACTTGTGTCTTCTGAGGATTAAACTGGACTAGATTTAGTCGCCCCCAATCCGAGACTTTGTCCAGCAAAGACTCGACTTCAGACACAAGTTTGTTCCGGTACTCGGTGACGTTTTCCCGAGAAATATTGGCACGGCCGGTGTATAGAGCATCACCAGTGCTGTCATCTGCATAGCAATGAATGCTACCAGCTTGCAACATATCATTGATATGCAGAAGAAACAGCGTTGGTGATAGCACGCAGCCTTGTGGAACACCAGCGTTAATAGGCTTGTAGTCGGAGCATGCACCGTCTACAACGACCTTGATGCTCCGATCTGCAAGAAAGCTGGTGATCCAATTGCATAATTTCTCGGGAAGCCCATAGGAAGGGAGCTTCGAAAGAAGCGCTTTGTGCCAAACCCGATCGAAGGCCTTCGCAATGTCCAAACTAACGGCCAATGCCTCCCCCTTGGACTCTACTGCCAACGCCCATCTATGAGTTAAGTAGACCAGAAGATCACCAGCTGATCGACCCCGACGAAAACCGTACTGGCGGTCACTAATCAGCTGGTGATCCTCAAGGTACCGCATGAGGTGGCAGTTTACAACGGATTCCATTATTTTGGAGAACAAGGGGGTGATGGCGATAGGCCTGTAGTTGGACGGATCTGAGCGGTCGCCTTTTTTAGGGATCGGGTGGACAAAAGCTGTCTTCCATGATTTCGGGACTACGCCTAGGGAGTAGGAGTATCGGAAAAGACGCGTTAGAACCGGTGCCAACTCCGGAGCACACGTCCTCAGCACAATTGGGGGGATTCCGTCAGGCCCACTCGACTTGTGGATGTCAAGGGAGAGGAGTGCTCTGCGAACCGAGCGCTGTGAGAATCGCA